GCCAATTCCAGCAAGTTGTTGAGTGTTGTGGACAGATCATTGCCTAAAGGGGGGGGGGCTACAAACCAAAAATACATTATGATGAATAATTTCTTCCGTGCAGGCGGTGATCAACGACGTTTCACAATGGACATAGATTTTCGTAGCATCTTAGCAGTTCAGCAGGAAACGACAAACTGCCCACCACTGGTCGATTTCCCTGGTAACTTGTGCAAAAAACATATGCCGGGGACCAGGCAGAATCAGCCGCAGACCGACAAATATTCGTGGCATAAACTTGCCCTGCACGGAATGCGGCCATGGTGTTTACTTTGAGCTTATACGCTTTTAGCCTTCGTTCGAGCCGCAGTAGGATGCTACAAAGAGTGAAGACTGGTTCTTGCTCCCAAATTATATGCAGACCGGTAAATATTTCTCATGTACTCTACGTGCAGTATTCAGCATTTCTGATTGGCCCTACTGTACCTATAAATGCGTCTCTCTCGTTAGGGTTCTTTGAATGTTACGTATGCCGTAAGCTGTACGTAATTTACTTGTTTGTCGTTGAACAGCTAGCACAGGGAACAACTTTCTTCGAATTGCATTAGAAGTCTCACATTAACCACCGTGTTTGAATTGCCTTTTTCTTAATAACCTCTCTGATCAGGATTTTTGGAATCTGAAGTACTTGTACCAATGACCTGTTTCGTTTATTTAACTCCATTCACAAGCAATGTATTCTTCATTTGTGTTCGCTCGTAAACAGCACAATTCGAATGTATCACCATAAGTGACTTGGTCGTGCATTGCATATGTTTCTGAAATTTGCATTCGTTGGATTCATAACCCGAGAACGGTCCCTGCATCCGAAGCCCGAAAGGCCAGTGCTGGGAGAGCGTGTTTGATTCCTCCCTGCTCCTATTCGCCGAGGTGAAGTGAATTGTACGCCGGGGATGTCGATCTAATGGCCTCTCAGGAAAATGAGCTTTGGCCGAATGGCATCCTGCCGATAGCACGCGTCTGAGAGATGGGCAGATATGAAAACATCATTGTGGGTGTGACATTGGACAACCCCAGAAGCCATACTCAGTTCCATGCATAACGGCTCTCTCTCCAAGACACCTTTAAAGAGTTTCACTCTGACTGACTTATTCCTTTGAAAATCTAACCATTCTGTTTAGTTCGGTTCTCTTCCGTGTTAGCCTACACGTTCACACTTATTCCCCGGTACCCATTTCTCGTCCCAAGAATTGTTGCAAAGGGTTTGGGTTGATTTAATTTGCAGATATCAAGTAACAGCAGTGCAGATATATGTAATGATGGCATTTGAGAAATTCATCGATAACAGGTGCATGTCACTCAAGCAGTGTCTCTCCTCGGAATACGAGCGAAACTTTAATGAAATCTGCAGTTTGACAGTGGAATCAAAAACAAAACTCACCCCAGCCTCGAAGAAAATTCCAGCCAACAAAGAGATCGGACTTTGGCACAAATCTTTATTCAGGTAAATTTAAAAAAACGTCAACTAGAATACTCCGTGCGCACCTGCAGTGATAGAGGAGTATCGCGCGTAACAGTGAGTGCGTTCGGTTAACTTCCCCGAGTTCACTCGGGTCTCCGCGTCCCCACCGTCTCACTTATTTGTAGCTGGCACACATACCCATCTTCAGCTAAGAGTGCCCATTGGAAGCTACTCGAACGCACCGAGTGTGTTTAATAAGAATCTCAGACACTGCATCGTTCAGTGCAGTTTTGATCGTCGATCATTCTTTCGCAAGATCAACAAACCCGAAGGGATATTGGAAAGCCTTTTCAGTTGCTATTTGCCAACCCCATGTTTGTCCTGTCTAAACAGGAGGCATTTTGGGTGGACGGACATTGATGGGCCGTTGTTTGACTTTTCACGGTCGACTGCAACGGTTTGAGGGGCCTGGACGGTGGAAGCAACTAAGAGACGAGAAGCGAGGAACGGGGAGAAAAGTACTGCAAATTTACTCTACGGGCGTGTTCCTGAAAATGCTGCCGATATCACACAACATTTCAACACCGAGGGATTAATAGCATCATTTGCTAAAAAAAAAGGGTATATGCACATTTGTTTTATATTTAGACGTCATCTGCCAACCGTACGCCAGCGGCATGTTCTGATTTTGGGTTAGGGATAGGTGACTTTTCAGTTGAAAGTGGCCTAGGAAGGTAGAACAACTTGGGAAAGTCCCCGTCAGGTCACTCACAGCTGCTGCCCAAATATTTTTTGCCGAATCTACTGACAGCGAATCGCTACACAGAAGCACTACAAATCTTGAGTTTGTCCGCATTTTTTGCGGTCTCAGAACTGAGTAAGAAGGGATAACCCTTGACCTTCTTTTCAACCTCTTCCTCTGCCAACGCTTCGTCCTGTCGTCATTGTCCAAAAGGCAGAATTCCGAGCACGGTCAAGGATGACTTACGCAGTTGATTATAAGCAGGTTTCATTAACGGTTATTTGAGAACCAAATGTATCCCTTTGTCTCGCAAAGAACAGCTTCTTTTTCTGAAAATAATTCGTCACCGACACTACAAACGTGACACTCATTCGCAAGTGAGTGTCAGTTCGTGAAAACCGCGTTATCAACAAGTTCGGTTTCACGAATTTACTCTCGGTTGTGCGCGCGCACATCGGACACTGAAGTAAGACTGAGTTTTGTTTTCACGAACTGACGCCCAACCTTATTGCGGCAATGCAGTATACGGAGAAAAATGCCATGAAAGGCTTGACACAAATTTGACTACCTGATGCTTCACATAAAAATTAATTAGAAGTCAGTCCGGTTCTCTAAAATGCGAACAAAACAGATCACATCGCGCACGACTGAGCGTCAGTTCGTGGTGTCGGGTGACGATATGCCAGAATACCAGAATCACGTATCAATAGGTTGGGCCAACTCTTCAAGCCTAGCATTATGTAGGAGGCAAATGTATTCCCGCAAAAGTCAGTTACCGTGTGTTCAGCGTTGGAACAGACATGCTTGCGACTGCGTATTGGAGTCCGACTGGTGTGTGATGTTTTTTTCATGGTACGTCGAAAAATCTAATGTGTGAAGCACTTGTCCATTCGCTTTCTGAAAGCTGTGTACTTTCAGTATTTGTCCTTTTAAACCAGCAAAGTGTTGAGCTTGTATTGAGTTGTGTATTAGAGAGGTTTACATGGGAACTGAGGGTATTAACAACATAATACTGACTTTTCCTGGACGAGACGTCAGACACGACATATCTCGTCGGCCTGACGGAATTTCTTGTCAGAATAAGACCGAAATCGAAATAATGGTAATGGTGACATCCCGTCAGAGTGACAAGTTTTATTGTAATCTTTGAGCTCAGGATTCTTCCATGGTTTGCAAAATTTGGCACGCAGCTTAAATTGAACTTTCATTCCGAAGGTAGCTCAACATATCTTATTTGTAGCTGACTCAATTTAACTTTCTGATAAACACGATTAAAACGAATAAACACAATTAGAACACTGGAACGATAGAGGGCGACCTGAATTCGTGGCTTATAACGTACAGCATGTGACTATAGTGGTGCAGATGAAAAAAAGTCCCCAGTTGAACATTATGGGCATAAGGATGGGGTTGGTAGGGGTGAGATTATTTTGAGACCGGCATGGGAACAAATGGTTTCAGTCAGACACCCAAGAACATGAAATTTTTCAAGATGTACTTTGCGTCGGGGTGATATTAATTTTAATTACGGATTTTGCCCTTACCAGACATAAACACTGTATACTCAAGTGTTTGAAATTTGCTACACACCTTCGAACAAGCTCGGTACGGAGACAGCAACCCGACAACAGGCATTAGTGGAACGTAAAAGGCTATGACAAGAAACAAAAGTGACGAACCTTCTCCCCCTTCCCCTCCCCCCCAAAAGAAAATTGCTGAAATATAAATCATTTTGATAGATCATTCACCATCCTTTCATTTTATGAAACAACGACGTCGATCGTTGTTAAAAAGGGATGGGATATTTGTGAGCAATATGAAATTATTTTCAGGGTGTAAAAAGACCTCACGCCGAACCATAATGATTTGGTGTTGACTGTGAGCACCCTGCAGTAGATTACTACGTTACGCTTCAGTTGGTCCCCGAAATGTAAATAATATATATTTTACTAGTTATTGCTGAGATGTTAGGTACGCATATATCATTTTTATGAGCTTCCAGAAATGGATTCCATTATTTACAACACATGAGCGATAAAAATGGAATGTTAATGAGGACTGTCGTGCAGTTCTTGGAGGATGAGTAAAGACCGTGTGCTTGGTGGAAATCTCAGATCCGGAATTTTAGGTTTACACGCTAGTTCATGTACTGGAGTTAACTATTGGTGTGATAATTTAGGTGCAACAAAAAAAACTGAAAGTCATCGTTTTGTCATGGATTGGATTTTTCAGACAACTGCGTGTGTACATGAAAGGGAAAAATAGTGAAGAAACGTCATTATGAAACAAAATTGTAAAGAATTTGAGCCGAAAATGAGCCTTTCGAAAAGAGCTTGGGAACCAAATAATGGGAAAGTGTTGGTGTTTGCAATAAAGTTTTCGGGAAACTTTCGCAAAAGAGTAAGAAGGAGAAACGTCCTCATAATGTGACACGAGCAACGTCCATTCTTTCTTTTACTCAAATTACAGTGCAGAAGCGACAGGGAGGTAGACTACAGATCACCGATTGACGTTGACATTGAGAGCAAACGCCAAGTAATCCTGTAATGACACGAAGCCCATTCACTTCAAATACGATTTGGAAGGTGATATTCGTAAATGGATAACTGCATATTGGTGAACGAAATTATCTCGGGATCTCGCGGGATCTTGACACCGAGTGAACAGCTTATGTGACAAATGTCTCAATTTTGTGGGGGCGGTCTTCTTGTTTCCGCGACGAATATTCTCACCCTAGACCTGTGTATTTCAAGCGCCCTTTACGGAAATAACAAATCTTTGATAAATTTCACGAAATTTTATTTCATTTGTGCCTACCTCGTGTTCCAGCAATAAACTGTATTTTTTGCAGTCCAGTAGAATTGCTTGACCCTGGACCGAGCTGCTTCCTTCCACTGTGGTCCCAGTCTCCTCCCCTCGCGGAGTGTCTGCCCCGCATCAGTTCGTCGCCAGGCAACGCTGCCTCCAGCCCAATTTGCTGACGCAGCAACGAGGACACCCGCTGCGTGGTCCTCAGTGGGTGGGGTTGCGGCACCCCCTGCGGCCCCCGGGCCAACCCCCTGACCGGTGCACCCGGTCCCAGGTCGGCTCCGGAGTCGCCCGAGTTCCCTAGGCTGGAGACGTTGTCAAAGAGGAGGATGTAGGCGGGGAAAGCCAGGCAGGCAATCACCGTCAACTTAAAGAGGGTTGTGTCTCTGTGCCTAGTCCGGCAGGGTAGGAGGTGAGACAGCCACCCCCTCCTATGCTTACGTTTACCCCACATCGTCAGTTGATGTTGAAAAAAATTCACAGCCAGCTGTCTCCTTGAACGAGGACAGAGGTATGCTGTATCGAATTCATAGCATAGTTTTGGATGACAAGTTTGGCCCTCATAAATTGTCATGCCATCTTGAAATGTATAATGTTTGACATAATACGACTAACCTCTAATTCCACCTGCATAGCAAGACTTGGTGTACTAACTAACAACATCCGTATTTTAATTCGTCTGCCGTCCTGATTGCTCGCTGTGTATGTGCGAATAATCCCTGCGGATGATGTTACATCAGTACATTCAGAGCATGATTCAGAAACACCTCGAATGATACGATGCCTCCATACAACGGAAATTGGCGGACAGCTTACCCGTTAAACCACGCTGAAACACGGTAGGGAGCCGTGTAGTGATGCCGGCGATCGGTACTCTCCTGTACACCGCGAGGAGACTGTGATTCACAGTTAGTGTTTTCTCCCCATTGGTGTTGTCATATAAAGCGGCTGTCACATTGCGGCCATTGCTGCCATTCATCATTCACACGCGCGGAGCATCTCCGTACGGACGGCTGATGTGCTGTGCATCTTCAAGATGCCGTGGTGATGTAGGCCCGAGCACGTAGCCAAACTGCGTACCACGCGAGAGACCCTAAAAATGCACGGACACATACAAACGTCGTTAGCCGGTATCCACACGCATACATCACCGTCCAGCATTTCATTTCCGAGATTCCAAATCTGAAGTCACCGACATCAGTCGTCTTCCCGCAGTCGACAAAATGCGCGAAGACATTGTGTACTTTCGCAGTCTCGGATGTGTGTGCTTTCCAGATCAGCTGTACATTGGAATCGCCCCCGGACAACGAGGCTTAGACCGCGCTATGCAACCCAAGCAGCGCTCGTTATATACGGCGGCGTGTGATCATCTGCTCACGGTCCTATGTCCCCGGCACTATCCAGACCGCGCGCGCGCATCAAGCTCATATTAATAATACAAGGGTTATTAATAAGCCCAAGCGAATATCCAAGACCCGTGTATATTATCCTCTCCCTCGGGACCCAACGACAATGACGTTAGAGAGCCACCGAAGTGCGCCCTCAGTGGACATTACTAGGTTCATGATCGTCTATTAGATAAAAATTAAATACCCGTGTTGAATGAAAAAGTCCGCCGTGCATTTTTAGACTTTACACTGTCGTATTTTATGTGTGTAGCTGTGAGCAAAACTAATTAACCTTTTTGTCAGGTAATCTGTGTTTAGGAGATTTTTTTTTTAAACCTGTGAAATGCAGAGATGTATAGCCTGAAAACAATGATAAAACGGTATTTAACCTGAAAAATCGAAAACACGAATGAAATTATTTAAAAAGGAGAAAACAGTCACAAAAGCAACATCAACTGGCAAACACAGGAAATGTAAAGAAATCAAGACAAAAATACGGTCACTTTGGACAAGATATACGACGGCAGTGACAGAACAAACTGACACACTATTGCAAGTGGGTGTCAGTTCGTGAAAATGGCGAGATCAACAATTTCGGTTTCACAAACTAGCACCCGGTAGTGCGCGCGCACATCGGGCACTGAAGCGAAATGACTGATTTTTGTTTGCACGAACTGACAGCCAAGCTTGGTTTTTTTTATTTATTATTTCTCAGGGAACAACACATAAATACACTCAAACACAAATTAGGAATAACACCATAAACAGATCTAAAAAAAAACCAAAAACAAAACAAAACAAAAACCTGATAACACCCCTGATGGATTGCCAAAAAGCGAACTTAATCGCTGTCTAGAGGCTCTCCTAAAATGTTAAGAGTTACTAGGTTGGGCAAAAGTGGGACTCACAAACAAATAAGGCAGAGTGGGGAAACACTAAGGGAGGAGGAATAATAAACAGAACTCTGAAGAAACCTGTGTAGGTCTAAAACAAAGAACTGAGAGAGAGGAGACAAACCACAAGGAATTAAAACGGGGGGGGGGATGACCACGGAGGGAAAGAATCAATGAAGCTGAGCTGAAAAGAAGATTGAAAATATGCAGAAAATACAATGTACCATTCAGACAGGGACATGTAAATGAACATGGGCATACATAAAGTTGTTACGGCAATTTAACGGAGAGAAAAAATGCTTGGAAATGTTTGACATGAATTTAATTCACCCATATACTTGCTGCCTTACCGAAAAATTTAATCAAAATTTGTTTTAACTGGTGGAATCAAGATCGGACCGTATCGATTCGTGAGAACAAAAATGCACGGAGTGTGCGTTGGATGTGCCGCGCTGTATCTGGTGCCAGAAATTGCCCTTTTTGGAAATGTCACTTCAGCACGTGCAGGCTCCTAGGACTTAAACCGGCATAATATGCGCATAATCGTCAGAGTTCATTGACTTGTCCTGCAGTAGGCCTACATCTGCAGTAGGTGATAGACCTTGCATCAAATCATTGTCAAATTATATACAAACTAGACGGTGCAAGTTGACGCAGGTCCATAAACTGAAAAGCACTCTATAATTGGCTCACTTCATCAAGCCATTAAACTTGATTTTACAATTTTTTAAGTACTCCGGAAAATAAAGAAAATTTTGGAGATCTTGAATGTTAATTGGGGGTAGCTTTGAGGGGATGCGAAACTAAACTATAAACCTTCATTCTGTCGATCTCGGTTCATTTTGTATTGTCTGCTCCTGTGAGCAGAGCTGGTTATATTACAGAGAGGGTTGCAACATGAGTGTCTCAATGTTGGAATCAAAACGGTAGATTCAGTAAAGTGAGCAAGCGCGCCCTCCATGGGTGGGTAGAGGGCGCGCTCTCAACCACATGTCCTAAATATAAACGCACGCTGTTTAATTCTAGGTACATACATGTACATGTATGCTTACACATTACCATGCTCGTGCGGGAGTTTCGTCAATGAAATGTTCTAAAAATGAGTCGACTTATTGTGAAAAACCTGCCAGCAGGGGTGAGTAAATTCTGACTGAGATCTAGGGTTTGTATCATTCCAAGAGTTATTGTAGACGCGTTTATCCGGTATTTTCTATGTGTGCCGCATCGGTCAGTGCTGCATCTGTTTCGCGATAATTTTGGGGGTCGAAATTTCACCATCTGACCATTAAGCATTAGAAATCTTTGATTGGTTCCATGTTTACATTACTGCTACGGCTACAAACTCGTGTTGACGATATGGAATGTAGGCCTAACGGCAGTAGTGTAGTTTTGGATTATATCATGTTTATTTCCCTTAAATTTGTGAAAAACTAAAAGAAAGTAAAATATCACCTGAATAAATCCTGCGTTTTAATGCATAACTGAAATGCAAACGACAAAAGATAATTTGGTGACATTTCTGAGGTAGATACGAAGACCTTGAAATTGATTACAGATTAGAACTCGCGCCCACATGCATGTCATGTCCTGATGGGGCGTTTCATGTTTAGGCCTAACTCCCGGCCAAACCATTACCAAGCCATGGAAGGTGAATTTAATACTATATTATTTGTAGCGGCTCAAGCTGTAAAACAAAAGATAACGTGCGACCCCGGCTTGACGGCAAAGTACACACTTTTTTGATATGACATAATCTTAGCAGTCGTTTTCCCTCTGTCGTGTTTGTCCCAACCTTTTCCAATGTCACCCCTTGCCTGGACATCCGGATTTGCCAACACCAAGTGCTATCCTGTTTGCCTTATGCTAGATCAAGGAGGATAAGATCCGCACTATCTTTGCCGCCCAAGGAGAGATCACCGACCTGCAGCTTAAGTACACCAGTGCCGGGGTCTTCCGCAAGTTTGCCTTTGTTGGCTTCCGGGCCAAGTCCAGCGCTCCCAAAGCTGTGGAGTGTCTGAACAACACCTTCATAGATTCGTCCAAAATACAAGTTGGTGGACAGTTTCTGGCCTTGAGAAAAATCGTATCTGGCCTCAAAGTGGTCTTGTGTTGATCTTCAAGACTTTTAAACTAACTCCCTTGCAGCCGATTTCACAAAACTTTGAACCATACATAAGCCTTGCACCACAGATTTGTGTCATAACTGTGCAATATATGCATACTTACATTCGATTTCATGAAATGATGCTTAGCTGTTTCATGTTTAATATTAAATTTCTTGGATGAGGACGATAACAGCTTTTATGATGGCTATTACTTGTCAATATAATAACAGTCATCAAACAGTCGCTGAATTGACTCTGTCCACCATTTTGAAAATGTTTTCATCCTTTCTTCATTTAAACTGGACAGAAAATCTCACAGTTCTCTCACTGTGAAACAAGTTTCTTCATTACCTTCTAAAACAAAGTTGTAGCTTTCTTGCATAAGCCTTGTTAAGTTCAGTAATGATGAGGCTTAACTGAACATGATAAGCTAATCAAATCATTCATTGTGGCTTTGTTTAGTGCAATCTACACCACCTACAATAAGTGTGTAAGTTGTGCCGTAATCTGTTGTGCAAATCGTGGACTTACGCTGTGTGTAAGTTTTGTGTAATTGCTTTTAATTTGTTGCCTAATGTACGCCATAAAAATGTGGCATAAGTGACATTGCGCCATTGTGTGAAATCGGCTGTAGTCCTTTCTGTTGGGAACTATCTAGAATCTGTCTAAATACCACAACATTACAGAAACCTCCATGTGGCATTTTCTTCTTTTTCTAAAAAATCAAGCAACACCAAGTTCCATGCAAATAGATAGTGACAGGGGCTGTTGCCTTCCTCAGTGCTACAACATCTTCCAAAACATGGTGAATTTTTCATAAAATCTGAGAGGGACAGGGGATAATGAATGAAATCCATTGAAGAGAAGTCTACGTCGGGATCGCTACCATGCGTTTCCTACAGGTTGAGATTGCCAAGGATTTGGGAGACAGCAATCTGGCCAGGCCATGGAGCAAGTACTCGGAGAAGAGCTCAGCTTTCCA